TTTCCTCTACCCCCCAAAGGTTGTCAGGAAGAGATCGCTCTTCGCGATAAGATAGCCTTTGCCCACATTAGTTTTAAGTTGTACATGTACTGTTCTTATTCTTGTGTGTGAGAAATACAGTGTATATCTTTCTATCTACTTCTGCCGCCATGCAGTAATGTGAGCATTACTGCGTTCCGGTTATGAAGAGTAAGGGTGATGACGAAATTACAGACACAAAGAGATATCTACTAATGTAAAGGGGCAGTATCAGCAGTGCCCCTCAGATCTTTGCGATCTAAAGCTCTGACCCTGCAGGTGGTATGAACAGGCGTGTCGCTTTCTACCAGGCGCACAACTTGTTCCTTCCGTCATTCAATTGGTATCATGAAAAAATCTTTACTCTTTTTGTTTCAGATGGGTTTCGCACTTTTCCTAGTAACTCTAAGCTGGCTCTACACTGGTGTCGTGTTACAGTACACTACCAGTTACGGGGACACCGTTATAGGGGACCGCTTTATTTTTACTATGTTTTTTGGAAAACCCGATTGCGTTTACACTGTCGACTATCGTAAGTTTCTTTTTAAGATACGTATACTTTACGCCCTTTTTCCATCGGGGAGGCACATATCACAGTCTTCTTCCTGCTACGTTCCTGATACACGTCTTTCGTTTGACCAACATGCGTCAATGTTTTCTTTTAACATAGGTACTTAAAAAAAAAGTAAATTATAGTTTGGAAAAAAAAAACATTAAAATACTGTATTTCTAAATGTTGATGAAGCCACTATCTGTAAGCCAACAACTCGTCGAATTTAATGAGTGCAATCTCCATGCAAAACGAAGCCGTTACTAACTTTTGTTCTCGCGTATACATTTGTTTGTTCTGTAAACATAATCTTATCATATTCAGTTAAATTTAGCTAAAATTAGTGAGCAAATATTAGTTCATTGGTTTTTTTTAACACTAAGTGGCGTTGGGGCCGTTTTATGAAATTCCTCATGGAAGAATGGCATAAGCGGAGTTCACGTCAAACATGTTTATTGCTCCATTAGATATAGAAAAATATAACCCATAGCTTCTCCAATTCCTGTAACTCTATCTACAATATTAGTCACTAGATAAATAAAAAGCAATAAACATGTTTGACGCAACTCCACTTATGCCATTCTTCCATGAGGGATGCGATATGATGACAGATAATCTCAGCTTCAAACAATTCTGTCATACAAACGATAAGGCGGCTGCCGTGAACCGATAAATTGTCGTCAAAATCTAATCGGAACAGCTAGTCACGACAGTTGTTCAACGATAAAATATACGTCCACGACAGATAGTCATGATATGGGAACAGGCTAGACGCGACAGTTTTCCAACTTAAATAGGAGAGTTATAAAATTCAACATTATTATCCACATAATTAGTTTCATGTAGTTGTCATGTAATAAAAGCACTTTACTTATAATTACATGTGGTTTTATGATACCAAGTGTACGATGATGTCGTATTCTATATAACTTACATCCATTACTATTGCAAGAGACGCAACCTTAGCGCCCAGTTACACGAGAAGAAAGTTTTCGTAAAAGTTAAACAAATTCGTGTTGAAAAAAAAAATTCGTGTCGAGCAAAATGCATCCTTATAATATGTCAACTTTTACGTTTTTCAGGGCGTGAAGGCATCCTAATGATGACCGAGGCGTTCAATATTACCACATATACATGTCACAATCATGCAAATGACATATATAATAGTTTGGAAGAGATCAAATTTCCTTACTTTGAAAAACCTACAAAATTACCGGTGAGTGTTACCGTATTTGAATTTTCTGCCGTAAATGGTATAGCAGATGGTCAGTGATACTGGGACTTCAGATGATGCGGGACAAATATAGCAAATCGGAAAGTCGTTACATTTTATTTATTTATTTATTTAAACTTTACTGTACAAAACACTGAAGTACAAATGGGGGACTTAATGCCATAAGGCATTCTTTACCAGTCAACTATTGGGCCAAACAGAAAAAAAAAACACAATAGGTTGGTGCTACACTTAAACAAGAAGAACAATATACTAGAAAGCTAATCGATAATTTATATGGTATAAATAAATAACATAAGTATGTTTATACTTATTATACATACATAATAAACTTACATATAAGCAACATTATACAGAGTCTTGATTTTGGCAATTGTCAAACAGATACTTGCGCAACATGCGCTTGAGAGATAACTTGGTCTGAGCTTGTCTTACATGGAGCGGGAGCGCATTCCAAAGACGAATTGCATGAAGGGTAAAAGAATTAGACAAAAAATCAGTGCGATGAGAAGGAATAGAGAGCTTAAGGCTACAGGAAGATCGAAATTCGCATACCGGCCGAGCGGTTCGAAATTGAAATAAACATTTAAGATAATCAGGTGCAACCGGGTCAAAATTTTTAAGGACCTGCGTCCACGGATGGGAAGCCAATTTAGTTAACAACGAAAAGCAGAAACGTGGTCATACTTCTGCAGACCAAAAATAAACCTAGTGTAGTAATAATTATTAATAAAAAGATCGAACACTCAGAAGAAAATCCTTCGATCCGGCCGGATTCGAACCGACGTCTTTTAGCTTACCGTGCCAGACGTTGTACCAACTAAGCCACGGAAGAACAAGCGGACCTCACGAATTTTTCTATGTGCTTGCGTCGTGGCTTTGTATTTGGTTTTTCAACGACTTTTTAGTCGTAGCGCCATCTATGAAAAATCTATGAAAGATTTATCACCCAGGTAGTACCTAATGCAGTTGTTAAGAGGACGATCTAATCTCTTCAGTAGCAGTAACAGTAGGTTGCACATTTGGCAAAGTGAGTATTCAGCTTATTTAAGGAGAAAGAAGAAGTTATACTGTACGAACTTTGCGGTTTACCTACACCACTGGATTTTAGGATGACTCCCGCGCCGGGTTGTTCTTGGCGCGAAGATTGTCCATTGTCATATTGCGAGGAAATGCGGCAAGCGTGATAGGCACCTTTGCGCTGGGATCATTCAGGGGCTGGCTTTTTAACGAGTGTGAGCACTAAACCATAGCTCTGAAACATGTATTTTGTAATTATGTTTTGATGGATTAAAATAAATATTAAAGATTTTAGTTCACTAGATGTTTGTATAAATAAATACCAGCAAAATATCGGCTCGGCTTTCAAAAGAGAATATTTATGTATCACTGTAGTGATCGTAGTAAATCTGAATTGTGACATTATTATAACCACACCGATTATCCACCAGAACTTGAGACCAGACTTGACCTGCACTATGAGTACAGGAGCAATGGAATGCACTTTGGGGCCACAAGCAGAACATTATGTTCTGGGAAACTTCCTAGCACGTTGTTGTTTATGAGTAGCAGCAGTGGAGCTCCTTGTGAAAGAAGTTCGTCCAGGGAAGTAGTGCCACCTTACCTATTTCTGCCGCCAAGCAGTAATGTGATCGTTAACTGCGTTTCGGTGTTGAAGGGTAAGGGGTGCTGGTGAAATTACAAGCACATGGGACTTGTCAACTTATGTCTCAGGGTGACGGGCGCAGTGGCACTATCCCTAAGATCTTTGCGATTTAAAGCTCAGAGTGGCACTGCAACTGTTATGGACAGGCGTGTGGCTTACCACCAGGCGTACGACTTGTTCCTCTCGTCAATTGGTATTATAAAAAAATAACAGAAAAAACAAAGATCTGCAAGAAGCAGATAGAAAAATTCATAAGGTCTGCTGGTTCGTTCCGTAGCTCAGTTGGGTGAGTGTCGGTGCGGTGTGCTGAAGGCGTTGGTTCTATGGTGGCGCTGATCAATATCCTGGAAGTAGTTAATGTTAAGTAAATGGCCGTGCATATAAATTAATTCCACTTTAATATGAAATATAAGAAGTTCAAAACCAAGAACAAAGATTGCAACAAGAACAGAAAAATTTGTAAGGTCCACTAGTTCGTTCCATGTCTTAGTTGGCATAGTCTGGCATGATTTGCTGGAAGACGTAGCCGGATGGATTGAAGGATTTTTTTCTTAGTGTTCGATCTTTGTGTTAATTATTATAACAAGATAGTAGGAGCTAGGAGGTTAGGAGTAATTTCACAAAAATAATTGAATCATGGCGGTCAAATATCGTAAAATACAATAAACTAAAAAATTATAAGAAGTCAGTTTTTTCCTTGTTCAAATATTGATCATGAGCTATAATCATTTACTGAACCAAAGTTCATTCATATACAAATATGCGTGTCTATAGATGGCATTGTGTGAATTGAAATGTTACAAGTAACATATAAATTAACGTTTCCTGAAATGGGTAGATGGCGTTAATCCTAAACAAAAGAAAAGAATAGCCGGCACTATCCATACAAATCTGTGCAATAAGCGCCATCTAGTTGATTTGTTTGTTTGGAGTTCTTAGGTTTTTGCGATTCTTACACATAGGAAATGAAAGTATTTTTCCGGATTTTTATATTTGTTTTTTCAAACAAAACAACGTTTCGGGCCCTTTACAGGGCCCATGGTCACGGTTGACTGAGGTGGTACAGTCATCAACCAGTTATGTTGAATATTAATGCAAACCACCCTATTATTATTATTCTTTTGGAACTCAATATCTATTTATACTGTTTCCAATATGGTTGAGGCATCGTGTTGGAAAGTTTAACTAGACACTGGTATACCGTACCTAGCTGTTAACGTTACTGGTGAAATTATAGGCGCATAGGACCAGTCAACTTATGTCCCAAGGTGACCTTTGTGATTTAAAGCTCTTGAGGGGCACTGTTATGGATAGGCATATAGCTCTTGCTTACCAACAGGCGCACGACTTGATCGTCCCGTCCCTTGCTATTATAAAAAAAAATTGAAGGTAGGAAGCTCTTTCCATGCACCAATTTACAGTGGTGCCCCTTGTGCCCATACGCTTACGCTAGGGAATATCTCAACGCTGTCAGCGACAGTCAATATAGTTTTAAGATATGAAATTAAATGTTGTAACCCTAATATAAAACAATGTGCTCCAAAAAGGTAATAAAATCGCTATCTGTAAGCTTTTCTGAAACCAATTCTATGAGCCCAAATACAATAATTCCGCTGCAATTGGTTCAGGAAGTGGGTTGCTGGCAGACAGTTCAGGTTGCAGCATTAGATCAAGCTTGGACAAGTGGAAATAACATACATTGAGAAAAGAGCTGATGATCTATAAATACCTGATTACAAATGTTCGTAAAATATGACCAAGAACCATATAGAATGAAAATTGATTATCTTTTACAGAGTGTGCAGATCAGAGGCTGTATTTATCCAAATCAAACATACGCAGAAATATTAAAGACTCTAAACGTCGACGTGGATCATTTACCTAAACTGGAATTGTCAGAACTTCTTGCATCTCCGCCATTGCAAGGTTCTTTCTTCAATGGACTTAAGATCACTAATCTTGAATTAAGGTACGCAAAACTTGTAAAAACACTTACTTTACCTAAAGGAAAGTAGAAACGTGGCCGAGGCTGGTAAATAAAGGTCGTGTTTACTCTAACTAAAGATTTTGATTGATTTTGGACCTCTCAAGGGCCCGCAGAGTTACATTCTTTATCTGTTAACCTAAGTACGTAGATGAAAAGCGTTTAAGAAAGAAAAAAAGGAAAACGTTTATTTGGTAAGTTGAGTCTAATACATTAGACTAAAGCAAGTAATTTTAAGTTAACAAGTGTACATAATGGCGCATAAGAAGAAAATGATACGACGCAGCAATATATATATCGGTGGCGAGACAGACGCTGATTTTCAATCGTTCCTGTTTCAGCGTCGACCGCGTCCTAAGGAAATGGTACATTCTCAACATCATGGTACAATCTAATCGTTTAGTTCGAACAGGACCCCGATTCAGAACTCTTCGATATCTTAACCGAATCGTTCGATTGGATATCGTTCTCGAATCGAAGGGCGCTTTCCGAGCTATTCAGAACATTCGAGTCAAACATTCGATTCGGATCCGGATATAATATTGTTATCCAACAACGTTTGTGGAGTTATCCGCTCACGCGATGCGCTCCTCCTACCGCAAAATGGCGGCTATTTGGTTTCGCAAATTATAAAAGCATTCACTTTAAATACAAGTTTTTATAAATAAAAATTATTATTCTGCATTGCTAAATAAATACCCTCCGTACTACCAACAAAATCATCTCAAATAAAATGCAGTAATACACCGCAAATCCTGCACTTAAAAAGCACTAATGAAATTTTTGGTGTAGTTGGATAAATATGATAATATTCCGTTTGAGTGGTTCTAACGTTTACCATGAAATTACTCCTTAAAGTATAGTTTATAAACATTTATATTCAGGGTAAACTTAAAAAACGCTACTTACGGTATGTTAATAAATAAACACCGAAATCACCAGCCCAAACAATTGTCGTGACGTATTATTGAAGTTGTTTATTTCTTTTAAATGACAGACCCAGGCATTAAAAACTTTATGGTTTGCTAGAGTAGTTACCGAAATAGCAATTAATATTAGTCCTTTTACCTGTTATAACTTCGATATCCGATAAATCGGTATAAAATCATCACCGGCACCTCTAGGTGTGGTATGCGTCTACGGCTGCATGTATCGCATGAGCGGTTAGTCGGCGAATATAGATTATAAGAAAAATGTAATCCTTTTATATACATTTTTAAGACTTTAAAGGCCTAAAATATATATGAACTGGTATTGCATTAAAATGAATTTATAAAATTGAACTAAATTTATTTCCATATTATTTTCTTGCTTTGTAAACAATAGGACGTTCGGTAACTTTCATTCGATAACTGTGTTCTGAATAACGTTTGAAGCCTTTGCCGGTCGAGAAGTACTAGTAGTCGTACGGGTGTGACGTCATTTCGGTTCGGTTTCGAATACGACAGTTTGACTATTCGGTTATTGTGAATAAAAATGAAAAGAATACGAACGATATCTAATCCTGTACCTGTACCGTTTCACCAATCTACTGGAGTATCTATAGTTGCTATAATCGCTTATAGTGACGTTAGTTCCCACTTCTTGGGTCCCTTAGTTGCTAAGTACCTATTGAGGTCTACGTAAGACCCAGATTGTCATGTTTTTATTTCAAATGCTCTAACAACCCAATCCTTAATGTTGTTTTTAAGTTATACAGAAGAGACCCTGATAAAATCTCGGGTGCCAGATGACGTTACCAATTATGTTTCGACTCTAAAAGAATTTTACTTGATCGGTGCTGTACTTCCTACATTACCAAACAACTCTGCACTGGAAACTGTAAGTTTCAAAGTATTTGTTAATTATTATGATCCGTTAAAATGATAAGATAAATTACAATGTAGGTCCAATACTTGAGAATCTAGTTTCTGTTTTAGGAATACAGAAACCCGGCAGAGGCCCGTAAGGGTTCTAATCAATCTATCATTAAGACCAGCCCAGACATAAATATAGGTATATTGATCATAACCTGTTAAAAAAATTTGAAAATTGAAAATTCAATGCGTCATGCTTGTCCAATAAAATGCTGCAACTAATAGCCCTATAGAACACCTGCAACTAATTGCAAATGACGGGTTTAGGTTAAGAGTTTACTATCATTACAGATGACCCTGGATAGTGGCAGATCCCGAAACGCGCTTGGCGGCTGCAGCCATCTCCGGCAACTAACGCTCATTAACTGGCATGTACACAGCTCACACATGGAAGGAGGCTGGATTTCCTCCTGCCATAATCTAACTGAACTTGTGTTACATGCTCCGTCTATTGATACTGCTTTTCGAGTGGTTAGTCAAATTATATATCAACATCCTTCATACAATGGAAGTTTTTAAGTTTGCAATATTCTGTTTGTCCTATATCACCTATATTGGTGAACCAATTCGGACAGTTTCATATGAATAATTTTAATGAACCCGTATAAATTCTAGTCTCATACTTAGTCGTTATCTGGAAAGATACAACTGATTTGGCATCGCTTTCTTTGGTCATTGTCTTATAGTGACTCTAATAGTAAGTACGCAACCTATTTAGTATTTTCAGTTGAACATTACCTGTGTATAATCTTGGTATTGTAAGCGCCATTTTGTATATGCATTCGTTTATTTATCGTTTATGTATTTATATCATCTTTCTACATTTTCAGTTAACCAATGCTACCAGTCTTCTTAAACTTGAATTATCTAAACTGCCAAGGAATGTATATGATATTAAAATTTCCATCACAAACGCATTATACTTGGAAAGCATCAAGATTCATAAATCCCCTATATATCGTGTCGTATTGTAAGCTATACTTTGTTTAATAAAATATCCTCGCAAGCTAGGGCATTTGTGACCCTTATTACAACTTTCTTATAGTAACTTGCTCTTGAATACAGAAAATTAAACATGCATAAGAAATGAAGCTATTTTTCGGATCTTCTTCTTTTCAAACAAAGCCAACGGCCTTTACAGGTCTCACGGTCATGATTGACTGAAATCGTAAAGTCATCGACCAGTTATGTCAAATATTAATGCAAACCACCCTTTTTATAAACATGCTGTCAAAGATCATAATTTGGTTTTACGTATCGACTAGACAGTCTTTAACTTTCGAATTAAATGTACTCTCATGTCTTAACAAAGTGAAAAATGATTTCAGAGACAAAGATCTTCCGTTATTAGCTGATATAGATTTCTCTGACAACGATTTGTGGAACCCTGCTCATATACGTTCGATGTTGATACATGTACGGCTTCTCACAAATGCCACTTTATCTAATAATCCTAGATTGGACCTATGTGAAGGTGAGTTTTTTTTAAAAAAGGTACATTGTATTAATGTATTTGAGTCCTGTAAGGTGTCTGGCTATGCAAATTCAATGCGATCCTGTTATGCGATGCGGGATTAGTAGCGAACGTGTGAACATTTTAATCTGGTTGTTATTTCAGCACAAGCAATGTATGATGACCCTTGGGATTTAGAGATGCCTAATTTAAAAAGACTAGTAGCGACCCGTACCGCAACCACTAGTATGTGTTTTCAAAACTTACAAGCCCTATCACTTGTACTTCTTGACTTCTCAAGTTGCAACATCAGCGCATTAGATGTAAGTACTATTTTAAGGAGTTTGGAGAGAAGGATGGTGAAAGCTGATTCAATTAACGAAGTGCCGTTCGTGGACTTTGCTAGTATAATTATACGTTTTAATTTATGCCTAGTTATTAATATATTTTTGTATATTTTTAGGCGTCGGTAATAAAGAAATTGCAAAACAATGTACTTTAGAATAGATGTAAGAACACAACGCAACTGATTAAGTTCGACCATAGATTAGGTAAGGTTTTGTACAATTAAAAATACGTTTGAATGTTTGCCTATGTAAAGTATTGGTTATTTTATAATACGCACACAAAACATTAAAGCTATAAAATACCTAATCAAATAATTAAACAATACTGACATAAAGTAAAAAATAAAACACAATGTGACGAAAATATGTAGACAATATTTAAATGAGAGATACGAAAGTTAGCAAAGGAAAGTTTTGACAATAGGCCTCAAACCAATGTCAATGTCACTTTGAGATTGAGAACAGTGTGACCATTTGTGGCAGATTTCTGCCATTTGGGCAGATTTAATTTTTATTCATTTTCATTGCGACAGAACATCATATTGACGTTATATTAAATATGGTAAAGTTTGGCATATTTAGGAGTATTCAGCAAGTTCTTTATTATTTTTAGGAATAAACTGAAAACTTGTTATTTTCTGCTACTACGAGCAAATATCTGCAGCGAAATACAGGACAATGTTATAAACATAACCCATACCAAGTTTATAACCAACAGCTTATACAGGCCGTACGCAATTAGCTTTTCTGGTGCTTTGATAATGAATCACAAGTATTGATAGGTCTCTTTAATGCACGTCGTCAAGAACACTGGGTCACAAAATACACGGGATGTCGCTATTCTTCTTTATTAATATTTTTTGAAGAAACGAATATATACGTATGTATTATATATGTATTATACACGATTCTAACAACGATTCTTTAGAAATATCCAGTACAAGTTTTGTACTACATCCTTTTAACATAGTTAATGTAGTTATGTGAAATTATGTAGGAACATAATTAATAATGTAATAATAATTATGTCAAAATAATGATTGTATGCGTGAAGTTTATGTAATTTATTCATTTCTGTAAAATAATATTTATATATACCTAATAATTTAATAAATTACAACATATATTACAAGATCATGTCTCTATATTCTTTAGTAGAATAATACGCAATATCCAACAAAAAGTCTTTTAGTCGACGAGGAAATATATCATCATTAGGCTCATTTTTTAAGTCAACGGGTAGGTGCTCATACATAGGGCACACTATAAGTTTCCGGAACTGGCCACTTACATAAACAATATTTAAAAAGTAATACAACATTTGAAAATGGTACTCTTTGGCTATAGAATACAGTTTGTTTCATCTGACTGTCACTTGTTTTTACATTGTGGCGTCATTTTAGAAATTGGTTGTCTACATCACCATGGATTTAATTCGTGAACATTATCGTAGTATGATTTTCTACGACTTTAAGTGTAATCTAAGAGCTCAGCGGAGCTTCGCTCGGCTTCAAACTGCTTTTGGCAATGAAGTACCATGCAAGACAAGTATTTAAAGCTGGTTTGCAGAATTTAAACGCGCTCGTGTTAATCTCAGTGACGAATTTCGTGATGGTCGCACGTCCACTGCTGTGAATAACAAAAATATCGATGCTGTGTGCCGTATGATCAAAACAGACAGACATGTGACATACCACGAGATTCGGGATTTAGGCATAGGCATGAGTACAAATACAATTAATACTACACAAAAATTTGGGTGTGAAAAAGCTGTGCACTCAGTGGATCTCGCACATTTTGACTGAGGCTCAAAAAACGGATCGCGTCACTTGGTGCAATGCAATGCTTACCAGATTCAACGAAGGGGCGTCAAATTTGGCGTAGAACCTAGTAACAGGTAACGAAACATGGATTTATAGTTACGATCCCAAAACAAAGCAACAAACGAGCGTATGGGTCTTTCAAGATGAGCCGAAACCAACCAAAATGGCGCGTGTGTAAAGTGCCTCTAAGCGGATGATTGCTTCTTTTTTTTAATAAAACTGGACACGTAGCTACTGTTACTTTGGAGAATCGTTGTACCGTGAATAGTGATTGGTACACGACCACTTGTTTGCCGGAAGTTATTGACAAACTCCGTAAAAATAACCGTAAACGCCGTATCATCTTGCACCACGATAATGCCAGTTCTTAGACGGCCAGACAGACAAATGAATTTTTGAAGGTGAACAACGTTGACCTTATGAGCCACTCCGCGTACAGTCCCGACCTGGCACAACCCAAAAGTCACAACTTTAAAAATTAAGAACCAGTTATGCGGTCAACGATTTTCATCGCCTGAAGAGGCTGTCGAAGAGTATGAAAAATATGTTTCAGAGATTGTCACGGAGGAGTGGCATAAATGTTTTCAAAATTGGTTCATTCGTATGAAAAAGTGCATTAACGCCAATGGAGAATATTTAGAGAAACAATAAATTCATTTCTGACCATTCATAGTATTTTTTTCTTATTCATTCCGGAAACTTATAGTGCGCCCCACGTAATAAGTCGGGCCGATTAAGCGCGGATTTTTCATTAATTTGATTGTTGTGTCCGGTGAAATTGTTGATGAATTCGTGGGACATGTTAAAGGCTTGTCTCAGCTCTTTTGTACATGTCCTTTTTTCCAGGTACTTTTACTTACAGAATCTTTTCAACGATTATGTCAGTCATTAATATTTTGCACAATATGCTTCCTACAGTTCACAACGTTGCCGACTATCAACAGTAGCCAACTAGAACTTCGTTTAAACCACAACGCTATTGAACAAGTCTCGTTTGAGCATGCTGATTACAACCAACTACTACAGGTACCGTCCACATTAAAACAGATAAAATACCTAAAATGGTATATATTCGCTGTGGCCTTAACCTTAGGACATGACCTCTTCTTCTTTTCGGATCACAATCTGATGAAATCACTAAAGTTTCTTGATGTAGTAGAAGGTTACATTTACAACCAGGATTGTAAATTTAGCAGTATACATCTTGAGACTACTTACTCCCTGCAGAATATATATAGCTTGATACCACTAAGTAAAGAAATCTGGCCGAAATTCACTACCCTGATGCAAAATATTATTAGTTACTTATAGTATTTTACAAATGTTTCTATAATTTTCGATACTGTTTTTATGTACAGACCGAAATCACGACTCACCCACGAGAGTTGAGTCTGTATGAACTACATCTACAGGGTAACCATATCAAGAATTTCACCGCCAACGACCTACCTGACAAGCTTAACGTTTGTATTCTATCAAATAGTTCTTTCTAATTCATAATCTTCTTTAACCAATTAATTGCATGTTACCTGAAGTACTACATATAGCCATCTATTAATCACAAACGTTCCAAGGATAGGTTTCAATAACAAGGATTCCACAAAGTCACATTACGTGTTTGTTGATATAAAAACTTTAGACTTGAGAATCGAATGAGTTATCAGTCGAGAGAGAACAAACGCAATCACCAATAGCTGTATGAACTCAGATGTCTTTTTGTCATGTGATGAGGATCTCCCACAGCGACACACCCACTCGAATTCAACGTATACGTGATTAACGAAATTAGGATAAGTAACGTCAATGAGACACGACGTAGTTATTTAACATTGCCCTTGACATATTTTAGTGCCAAGCGCGCGTAGTAGTGCATGGAAATTGCATGTACCGTCAATGGTGCATCAAGCTATAGGCAGACTTTTGTTATATGGCCTCATCGAGTATATAACCAGAAATAGAGATGAAATGTTATTTAATTTGTTTGAAAACTATTCTGCCATATCATTACTGTGACAACTGCGCTCCGATTGGCTAGCCTGAGATCGAAACAATTGACGGGTGTCAATGTCAATGGGTCTCGTCAACTGTTTCACTTCAAATCGACCAGTTAACTTGAGCTTTGCTATAATGGATGTAAATGACCGATGAAATGTGATTCCGTTTGTTTTGTAATTAGATGTTTTGCTGTTTCTCCCACACCACTATATAGAACAGCATGGTATTGTTAGATATTATCTTTATTACAATAAATACAGAATATTTTTTGGAATATACGGAGACGTACACACAGGTCAGTAGTTGGCCTGTCTCTAATTCAGTGCAAACGGGAGTTGATATTTATAAGAGCTGTATCGCTAATGTGTTACCAGGAATATATGGCCCTTATTTCGTCTCTATTTCTGGTTATATACTCGATGTATGGCTTTCAGAGCAACAGAAGAAGGTTTGTCAATATTGAGCTTGGTATGCTGTCCTCCGGACTTACCGACTTTTCTCTTCTTTAATGTTCCACCTTGTCGTCTCGGAATCTCCAATATTCTCTGCTATGTGTGGCTTTAGCATGTGACTATTCTTGTACAATGTCTTGTAATCAAATTGAATCTAATAACAACCTAATATCAATAATACTCATATCTGGTACACAAACTGACACGCAACGATTTGTCCAATACTTACAAATTGTTTTGACATGTGCTCGGGTGCCCTCTTTTTTAGTTTTTTTTTTCAACCTATTGTTTGATTCCAGTTCCTTGACTTAAGTTCCAATCGCATTTCTTACATCGACAACGAAACAGCAACTGCATTGTTCTCATCAAAAGAGAGACGTATAAAGCTAGCTGGTAATAGCATCGTGTGTGACTGCCAGAACCAGGCTTTTCTTACCATTCTGAAAGAACATAAAGATCAGGTAATTATTTTTCTTCCATATCGTACTTTAAATCAATAAAGTACGATACATTAAAAACACAACATGTATGTATCTTTATATATATGGTTTTCTAAACTGTAACTATATGTACACCACAACTGCATTAATACAGGCGGATTAAGATTCGATTATAATAACCAGTTGATAAATAATTAGGCGACCGTCTTTCCTATGAAGAGAAATCAAGTAAGTCTATTATGCTGGCCCAATGCGGATAGGGATCTCTCGCGTCTTTTTACAGCTTTGTGGCATCCTCCGATATCAATGTGTTCCTATAACATTAAATAAGGTGTTAAAAGAAATAACACCATGAGCCATGAGTGGCTTTATTTTCACACTACGACAGTGATTTACACTTGCGGTCTCCTAGAGTACGCGTACTAAGTCTCCTTCTCTTCTAGAATTTAAAGATTTAGATTTGATAATTACGTATAGGAAATGAAACTATTTTTCCGGATTTAAATCGCGTATATTTGTTTTTTCAAACAAACCGACGTTTCGGGCCCTTTACAGGTCCCATGGTCACGGTTGACTGAGGTGGTACAGTCTTCAACCAGTTATGTCTAATATTAATGCAAACCACCCTATTTTTTCACTATAGTTACAATAGTTATTAATTAAATACCTTATTTTTAATTTTACAAAGAAAACATTCCAATTTACGCTACATTAAGTTTTACAAATTATTTTATTGAATGAATTTTTATTAACTTTAATTTATTATTAATTATTAATAGAAATTAGAATAAACTAAAACATATTAATTAGTACTGCAGTCTTATGTCCGTTTGGGATTTTTCATTAGAGGAAATACTGGATCCCAAACTGGTGGTACGGAGAAACCATCTTCCCTGTTGAAATTAGGATGTTTTTTAATTTCAATGGCCTCTCGCAGCATCCTGGGCAGATAACGGACTTCTTTTGCAAGGACCTGGGGTTTGTCAAACTTCATTGAATGTGTAGGTTTATCCATGACATCTTCCCTCGACTGTTGGTGGTTTCACACGGGGTCTGCGGCATTGGCGTGGAATCCTCAACTTATTCGCAGACCGCGTGTGAAACCACCAACAGTCGAGCGAAGACCTGCCATCTTACCTTACGTGAGAGGTGTTACAGACAAGATCGGAAGAGTCCTCAGGCGTGCATCTATCAAGACCTATTTCAAGCCCCTGAGGAAAATTTCTCACTTCCTGAGACCCGTGAAATGTAACATCCCCTTACAGGATGCAGGAGTTTACAAGCTTGACTGTGAGTGCGGTCTCTCTTATATTGGACAAACAAAGCGAAGTATTTGTACCCGCGTCAAAGAACATGTAGCTGATGTCAAACATCGTCGCGTAAACAAGTCTGCAGTCTGCGAGCATGTCATGGATAAACCTACACATTCAATGAAGTTTGACAAACCCCAGGTCCTTGCAAAAGAAGTCCGTTATCTGCCCAGGATGCTGCGAGAGGCCATTGAAATTAAAAAACATCCTAATTTCAACAGGGAAGATGGTTTCTCCGTACCACCAGTTTGGGATCCAGTATTTCCTCTAATGAAAAATCCCAAACGGACATAAGACTGCAGTACTAATTAATATGTTTTAGTTTATTCTAATTTCTATTAATAATTAATAATAAATTAAAGTTAATAAAAATTCATTCAATAAAATAATTTGTAAAACTTAATGTAGCGTAAATTGGAATGTTTTCTTTGTAAAATTAAAAATAAGGTATTTAATTAATAACTATTGTAACTATAGTGAAAAAATAGGGTGGTTTGCATTAATATTAGACATAACTGGTTGAAGACTGTACCACCTCAGTCAACCGTGACCATGGGACCTGTAAAGGGCCCGAAACGTCGGTTTGTTTGAAAAAACAAATATACGCGATTTAAATCCGGAAAAATAGTTTCATTTCCTATGTGTAACAATCGCGAAAACCTAAGAACTTGATAATTACGATCGTGTTTTTTTTCAGGTGGATGACTACGACGAACTCGTCTGCAAAGAAGACGGAAATTTAATAAGCAACGTTACTGTTTCCACGCTCTGTGTCGTTGAGACTCAACCACAGTCGATACTTGTCAGGATCTTACTGCCAGCCTTACTCGCTGTTATAGGCTTGACAGTCTTAGCTATTGCTGTATATTTCCGATATGGAAAAGCCATTAAGATCTTCTTGTATGCAAGAGGTTTGTGTCTCTGTTGCTTGAAGGAAGAGGAGCTCGACGCGAATCGTCCATTTGACGTTTTCATCTCTTTCTCTCACGACGATGAGGATTACGTGTTGAATGAGTTTCTGCAGGTGCTAGAAAAGGAACACTATAAAACGTGTGTTCACAATCGGGATTGGATCATTGGCGAGTGGATCCCGAAGCAAATTTCAGTGTCGATAGAAATCTCGCGGCGTACGTTGATAGTTTTGTCTAGGAATTTCGTGAAGTCCGTGTGGGGGATGCTGGAGTTCCGCATGGCACACGCGAGTATGCTGAACGAGGGCCGGGCGAGGTTGATCGTTGTTGTTTTGGATGATATTGTGAAGGAGGAGCATCTAGACCCTGAGCTGAAGAATTATCTTCGGACCAACACGTACTTGGAGACTAGCGATCCATGGTTCTGGGACAAGCTGCGGTTCGCGTTGCCGCGACGGGGACACTCCCGACCAGAGACGAGTCACGAAATGCCAGTAGATGTTTCTAATGATTTTGGACCATATGGAGCTGCTATGCCTGTTGTCCAGAGGAATTTTGATGACTCTATAGTGTAATTTATTATGTGTCTTCAGCATTAAGTGAATTTTAAGGAATGAAGTGTTTCTAGTTCATATCGAAACCAAAGATTTTAATACCGAAATATTTTATTCTGATTATGAATAATAAATTGAGATACTAATGATCTATAATTAATTTAGGACTTATTTAAATCTAAGTCCAATAGCACACCTAATGGTTTAGTTATAAAGTTTTTCCACTTCATAGTTTTTTTACCAACTTTAAAAAAGGAGGGGAGTCTCAATCCGACTGCTTTTTTGCATGTCTGTTACGCGATGACTTCGGCATTTGTGAACCGATTTTGATGATTCTTTTTTTGTTGGAAACAGGGTA